CCAAATTGGCGATGGTCTAATTTGGGGCCGAATGTTTTCCATAATTGCTTAGCAATTTTTCTCTCGAGTATTTTACATGGAATAGGTGTTAATGAAATAGGCCTAAGGTCATCGAGAGAATTAGGTGGATTTGTTTTGGGAATTGGGACCGTGATCGCACGCTTCCATAGGTCAGGTACCACGCCCTCAGTGATGGTGCAGTTAAAGAATTCGCAGAAGGGGGTGGAGCGAAATCTCGTAGTAATCTCTGCGGGATGTCATCAGGGCCAGGAGAATGACTTTTTGCTCTCCTTTTTAAATGTTGATACACGTCGTATTCGCTGACAATTGCTTGTAGAGAGCGCGAGGGTAAGTAAGCTGGCAGTTCTGTTGATCGTAGAGGTGGGAGTAGCTTGTTGATGTTCGCAAAGTGATAGTTGATGATGTTAGCAGCGCTTTCTAGCAAGACGGCACTTTCGCTGATGTGAGAGAGTTAACTGTCACTTCTTTATTCACCGATTAAATTTCGAATGTGGCTATACCACGATTTGGGATTTGCGTCACTGATTCTATCAATTATTTGCTTATGATTATTTTTCCTAGCCGATCTTATCTATTGTCTAACCTTTTTTGCCAAGTACTTTGTTGCATAGATATTTCTTGTTTTGTTGGCGTTTTGTCTTGCCAGGATAAGGTCTTTGATCCTGTTGGTGACCCGTGGTTTGTCCTGATGGTGGGTGGATGTTCTTTTTAAGGGGAGCAGTTGTCAACTTGGTTCCAGACTGATTTATAGAATAGTTGGCGTTTAGTATTCGGGTCGAGGGCGTTGGGAACGTCGGCCCAGTCATGATGTGTAATCCATGATCCGAACTTGCGAATTTTAGAATCTGGGAATCTACGCATATTTTGTTCCCTTTAATTGCGTGGGTGCCTGACATTTCTTTGCTATCCAGAGCAGCGACAAGCGATCGCTATTGCCTAAGGGCAATAGTGGACGTTAAGATCGTCCACTTTGTAAGGCAGCATGCATTTGCAAGGTAAATGCTGGGAAGTGTTCTGCGGGGTCGCGTTAGCTGGCGCTATTGTTGAAGAGTCATTTTGGTCAAACATCCCGCTCGGATAGCGAGGTTTTGTACTTGTTTCTATTAAAAAAAAAAAAAACTCACGGGGCTGGGGAAGGAATCTGACTTCAGAAATTCATCAGCTACAAGTGCTTTGCATTTAAGAGAAACAGTGAAGCTGGCATAATATGAATGACTCATTTTTGTTTTGAATGCATTTACATCGTCCACCCCATGATTCTCGATATCTGCTTTCTGTGTCTGTGTGGCAGTTTGTTATGTAAAGGTACAACACCTCTGGTTTAGCGTTAGATCTTTGTTCTATTTTGCCTTCTTTTTTCGTTTTCCTTTTTTCCACGAGCGTAAACCCATCCGCATCCACATTGCTTGAATTAGACATTTCATGTCTTACGATGTCGTGACTGTAGTTATTATTTATCACAACAGGAGCCGTGTTACTACTGTCGGGCTGGGGAACCCCGGGCACGTGGTGGTACTTTGCATCACTCCACTCGCGGTTCGGTGCGGCTGGTGGAGGGGGAACTGTTTTCTTGCTTGTCTTCTCTTCTGATATTCAGCTTGTTTCTCCTCTTGCTATTTCTAGTGTGGTTCCGCGTGGGCGTTACTTGTGTTTCTTTGTTGCTCGTCTTCTCTGCTGCTGAAGAATGTGGCGGTCTTGAGGGGGGATTTTGACGCCGGCCGAGGAGGAATGCGCGGCTCGCTTGCGTCAGCAGAGTCGCGCGCTTGCAGTGCCGCACAACGCTGGCGGTGAGGACGTCAGGTTCGAGTTGTGCTGGGTTAGTAGTTGCATTCCCCGGGGAGGGTGACGTGGGGCTGGGGTTCACGGGGGGTTCTGGGCTGAGGATCATAGGAGGTTCGGTGGGGAGAGATGAGAGACTGTCGGTGGGTGTGTCAGAGCTTGGTTGGGTGGGGGAATTAAGGAAGGGGATATGAGCAGAATTGAAAAAGTTGGTAGCAGGATGTGTCTGGGGAAGCTACGTTGTCAGGAGGAATCTGGTAGGGAGGGGGGGGGGAGAGACTAGACGCGTCGGACAAAGAATTGATGCTGTCAGACCTACCGGACTTCCGTGCTGGTGAATGCCACGGCATACCTTCCTCATTCTCAAAGAGATTGTTGAGGGTTGCTTGTTGCTTCATAAACATTTCCTTTGACACGTCGACTTTGTTTTGAAGCACATTAAGCGAGTCACCGGACGTAGGGTCGACCGGCACTGTGTGTGTTTGGGTTCTCTCACTTTTCGTTTTGGTGAAAATTTTTGTGAAAGGCGTCGAGATTCCTTGCTTTTTAACGGGTGGGATCTTGTCGCTTGGTGTCTCTGTTGTTGTTTGATGGTGAGCGAACCCTCCAATTGGGATAACCTTAACACCATACTTACATCCATGAACAAACACATCCCACAGAAAACACCTTCAAGTAGACATACACTTCTCTGGTTCTCCAGGGAGCTACGCAGACAACATCGCAAAAAACAGCGACTCTACCGACGCGCGCAAACATACAACACACCAGAAAATTGGACTGCCTTCAAAACTCACCAAAAAACATTTTCCAAAAACATAAAGAACGCAGAACACGAACATATTTCCACCTACCTCGCAAACAACGTCAGAAATAACCCTAAACACTTCTTCAAATTCTTTGAGTCGCGCAGACAGGACACAACGGCGATCACAGCCTTGAAAGACTCCAACAACACTCTCGTAACTGACCCAGAACTCAAATCACAATTACTCAACACACACTTCCAGTCTATTTTCACACACGATGATAATACACCTAACATTCCAGATAGACCTTATCCCCCAATCCCGCCGCTTGACATCACGACTAACGGCATACTGAAACTAATGACTACTCTTGACTCAAACAAAGCCACTGGCCCAGATCAGATCCCCGCCTTAATCCTCAAGTCCTGCGTCCCTGTCCTTGCCCCCATCCTTCAATCTATCTTTTCCCAATCACTCGCCTCATTCACCCTACCAACTGACTGGCTTTGTGCAAATATCACCCCCTTCTTCAAGACAGGCGACAGAACTGACCCGACGAATTATCGGCCCATCTCTCTCACATCGATCGTCTGCAAAATTTTTGAACACACAATACACAAACACATAATGAACCACATTGATACCCACAACATCCTTACAGACTCACAACATGGTTTTCGGCCCAGACGATTATGTGAGACCCAACTAATCACCACTCATCATGACATTGTACGACAATTAGACAGACGTGACACTAAACAAGTTGACGCCATACTAGTTGACTTTGCCAAAGCCTTTGACAAAGTTCCCCACAAAAGACTGACTCTTAAATTACATTACGGGATCACAGGACCAATACTTCACTGGATCACTGCTTTCTTGACGTTTAGGACCCAACGCGTCTTACTCGACGGAGTATCTTCTGACCCTGTCCCTGTCTCTTCTGGTGTCCCACAAGGCACCGTTCTTGGCCCCCTTCTTTTCCTTCTGTACATAAATGATCTTCCACTTTCGACTCCTAATTCTTCTACTAGACTTTTTGCTGACGACAACCTTTTGTTACGACTTATAAAGACTGAAGACGACTGTAGACTCCTCCAACAAGACATTGACATGCTTGAACAGTGGGAAAGACTATGGCAAATGTCCTTTAGACCCGATAAATGTAAAGTTATCCATTTCACAAGATCACACACACCTATCCACCACATCTACACCTTACACAACCATCCCTTAACATCTACAGCAACTCACAAATACCTCGGTATTCATCTTTCCAACAATCTCACCTTTAACACACACACCGACTTCATCATTAATAAAGCCAACAGAACACTGGGGTTTCTGAGGAGGAACCTACACAACTGTAGCCCGGACATTAAACACATAGCTTACAACACACTTGTACGTCCAACACTAGAGTACTGTGCGGCTGTAAGGGACCCCTACACTAAACACAACATTGAGAAACTCGAGCAGGTTAATACTAGGGCAGCCAGGTTTATTACTCGCAATTACTCACATACTCCTGGTATTACATCTCACATAAAAAAAACAGATTAACATAGACCTGCTCGAGTCACGAAGACAAACACACAGACTTACAATCATGTACAAAATCACAAACAACCTTGTAGACATCAACAAACACGAATACTTACACGCAGCACACCCACGCAACACAAGGAACTCACACACCAGTAAATTTGTCACATACCACACTAACTCTAACTCTTACAAGCACTCATTCTTTCCACGTACCATACGCGACTGGAACAGGCTCCCACAACACATAATCGAAGCTGAAACGCTTAACACTTTCGCAAACAAACAAAATAAACATTTAACAATACAAGCGCCTTCACAAACACCAACACTTCCGCTTGCACCTTGATCCTTCCCCCTTCCCCCAGCAACCAATCGCTACTAATATGGGTGTTATGCGCTCACTTAGCGCCCTACGCATAAAACTTTGAGATTGAGAGATTGAGAGATTATTGTCTACCAGATCGTCAAGCATGGTATGCACTATTATATTTATCATTCTTTTCGTGTCACGAGTTGTGAGTCTGGGTCGCCTTGCATCGGATAGGTCAATTACGATATTGTGTGCTTCCGCGATGTCCTCGGGAGCGTAATGCTTTTTGAGTTGTTAAGAAACATCCTAACCTACAACTTTTGGTCACAATGAAGCACAAAATCGTATTCAGAACAATTGTTAGGTTGCCGAAATTGTAAGTCTGATCGTTTTTTTCACTGTCTAGAGAGAGAGAGAGAGAGAGAGAGAGAGAGAGAGAGAGAGAGAGAGAGAGAGAGAGAGAGAGAGAGAGAGAGCGAGCGAGCGAGTAGGACCCGAATCTCTCTCACCTGAACCCGTGGACCGTCGCGTACGCTCTCCCTCCGTCGGAAGGGGTCATCACGCCCAGCTGAAAGGAAGCCAATTATCAGAAGGGAGAGAAAAAAAAATCTGTTTCGTTATTTAAGCCTTAGGATACCCCTAGGTGCTTGACTTAGCCGGATTATTTAGTTATTTTTCGTTGTTTTTAAAGTTATTAATCTATTTTATTTTTCTTTGGGGCTTAATTTATTACTTGAACTTATTGAGGTTCTTGCGAGTTTCAGATATTTTTTGAGGCAAAAACAGTTTTGAAATGACTCAGTTCTTGGGATTAAAAGTAAAAAGAAATACTAGTAAGAAGCACACGGCTGCAGACTTCACGCCCGCCCGCGCCCAGGCGGAGCGCACGCCCACCTCGACGGGCACGGTGATGTCCGCCGGGAGGGTGAAGGCGACGCCGACGGGGAGCCTGAGTCCGGGCGTCACCCACGTGGTGCTGTTGTCCAGAAGCTCGAGGTTGAAGCCCACGCTGCTCACGTTGCCGTAGTTGTAGACGGCGGAGACGGAGAACGACATGGCGAAGGGCACCTCCGCGCCCGCCGTCGCGCCCTCCGTCAGGAAGCCCGAGACGGTGGCCGAGGTGTCGGCGGTCGCGATGAACTGCACTCCGGCCCGCACGATCACCTGCGGGGGAGGGGGGGGGGGTTAAAGACAGGCCTTGGGCTTCGCTTCGGCCGGGCATCCGTCACGGGCGTGAAGCTCACACGGGCGCCCGACACACGAGACGCACGCATATAATCCATCTCTCACAGACACACCCGCTCATCCACGCATGCACACAGACTCACTCCTCCCTCCCCCTCCTCCTCTCTCACATACCCAGAAGAGCTGAAAGCGCCCCCCCCCCGACCCCGGGCACCGCACCTCGTCCTCCGTGGCGTTGTCGGAGATCTTGTAGTGGCACACCTGCAGCAGGTTGAGCTCAATGGTCTGCGCGGCGTCCTCGTCCAGGAGCCAGGTGGACGTCGTGAGGGAAGGGATGAGGCACGGAAGGTTCTTCCCGACCTGTCGAAGGAGAGTCTTTAGGGCGGGGCCTCTGAACAGCTCCCCGGCGGCGGGGAAGGTGTATTCTTGCAAAATGCATTCAAAATCATGACAGGAAACATTTCATGCAGCATATACAGTAAGCTTCGAGGGACGGCGTAGCGTCTCCCAGCTCCGAGTTTCTCCCCGTCAGAGGCGACGCTGCCCCAGCGGCCACTCGCCTTGTAGACGGCGACGAAGCACAGCTTGATGTCCGCCGACGTGTGCTTGACGGTGAACTTGGCCTCCTGCGCGTAGCCCGCGGGCGCCGTGATCTTGAAGTCGACCAGCTTCATGACCCCGTCGAAGGCGTCCGCCGTCCCGTCTGCGCCGTCCACGGTCACGAGGGCGTTGAGGTTCTGCAAGGCACGGGAGGGCGTTGGCAATGGCTCTCGAAACTGATACACACACTGATACAACATACAGAACTATTGATCGAAGAAGGCGAAAGGAAATTTTTTTTTTCTATTAGTGTGAAGAAGCATTGTGTTAGGCAGTCGTGCTGCACCAAGAACTGAAGCGTAACTAGCTGCGTATTATTCTTAGTGAAATGTTCCAGAGTGCGGAACTGTCCATGAATGATCAAACTAGACTCGACATATGCGTGAACTATCTCTGAGCCTAAGGCCGCCCTGCTTTCGCCGAGCGTCCCGCCCGGACGCGGACGCCTGACGCGGGGCGACTTACAGGAACGAGGGCGGAGCCGATGGTGAAGGCCTGCGGCAGAGGAGCGCCGAGGACGCCGGTGTCCTCGAGGATCACGTTGATGGTTTCCGAGGTGCCGTCGGTGACGCCCTTGACCATCACGCCGACCACAATGGCGTCGTCGTCAGCGATGGCGCCCGGATACGAGGTGCCACTTCCTGTGCGGGCGAGGGGGAGGCTGTTAGAAGCGTTCGCGGATTCACAAAGCAAGGAACGCGGGATCTGTTTACGAAGCGCCACATATGATGCAAGTCGAAGGGAGCAAGAGGGAGACGTACCGACATTGGTGATGACCCCGAGGTCGAGGATGGCGCTGAGGCCCCAGTCGGTCGGGTTGTGCGTGATCTTGGTGTGCTGGAACGGCTCGTCCTCCTTGAAGTACGGCTCGGGGTCCACGCACGGGTAGCTGCTGCCTGAAACGCCGGAAAGGTCAGTCTGGCTTCGGTGTGAGTCGTCGTCGCCGTCGACTGGCCCTGAACTTATCCTTGTGCTCACTGTCTGCTTCTATTATAGTCGTCACAATTCTTATCGAGATTACTACTTTTACGCCGACATCTACTACTGCTACTTCTGCAGCAGTAAGAACTACAGTAAAACCATTTGGACTGTTCTTTTATTCATTAATATCATAAAACTCGTAATATGTGCGCGTATGGAAAGTATTTATACAAGAACCCTCGCTCTCTCTCTCGCTCTCCTTTCTCTCTCTAATGAGAAAAAAGAAACAAGAAAAAAGCTCGTGCCCTTACCGATGTGCAGGAGGAGGATTCTGCAGATGGCCATGTTGGCCGTGGAGCCGCTGGCCACCTCGGCCTTGATCCTGTA